AAGTCTCGCTACTAATTCAATGAGCATTTATTAAATGCCTGTCATGGCGCCTTTGGCAGGTTGGTAAAACTACGGACATCTTCTCAGAATAACATTTTTAAATAATTGAAGGAAATGCTAAATTTCAGCTAAAAGTTAATTAAAATAAAGATGTAATTTTTTTTCCCCTATGCAAGTTCACAGATCCCCAGTTAAGAACTCCTGCTCTAGGAGCATAAGTTACAAAGAATGTATTGACTTGCACTGGCCCAGAAGTTTCCTCATCTGGGAATTTCCTGTACCTGTGGAATCACAGATCTGACACCTCTCTCTATTCCTATGTGAAAGGCACTGGGTGCTGGGGAGCTTGCATTCTACTAAAGGGGTAGGGGATACATGTATACTGAGAACTAATTATGGGGTCAAATGAAGAAATTATAACAAGTAGAGTAATGAAAGAAGGCTTCAAAGAGAAGGGACCCCTTGAAGGTGAGGATTCCAAGAGTACAGGTTTGGATGCAGAGAGTTGAATGCAGGTTTTGGATACAGAAAACAGAATATTGAGTTTGGGGGACCCCTCAACGTAACTGGATAGAATATAAGGTATAGGGCTGAGAGCAGCATGAAATAAGGCTGGGAAGTTGTACGTTCACTTCTAGCAGAATTCTAAATGTGTTGAACCTTTTTGGAGCACAATGTGTTAATATACATTGACAGTTTCAACTATTATCTCACCTTTTGATCCAGTAAATCCCATTGTTGGGAAGATGCCTTTTAAGGTGTTATCAAAAACAAAAAAAGAAAAAAAACCCTATCTCTTCAAAGATCTTTATAGCATTATACGTAGTTGAAAAACTCAGAAACAACCTAAATGGTAAATTTTGATGGTTGTAGTCAAGGAAATGAAAGGTAAGGCAAAGGTAATGATAACCTTAACTAGAGAAAGGAATATGTCAGTGGAGAGAAGAGCATGGATAAGAAACATGTTTTGGAAGTAAAATTGAAAAGACCTTGACAACTGATCAGACATGGCGGGGAGGGGAGATGGAGAGGGAAGTCACGTGTGGATAATTCAGATCTGCAATTTTTTCTCTCAACATTTTTACCACGCCTATATGCTATGGAATGCTAGAGCTGGAAGACACTTTAGATTTTACTACAATCACCCCACTTTACAGAACAGGTTTGTTTCCCATCGGTGTGCCCTAGTCCGTCCCTGGGATCAGGAGGAATGTCCCTCTTTAAATTGGGAGCTACCTAAGAGTAGTGATAAGAGCTATAACTAGGGTAGGGTATCAAAGATTCTGCAACAGGGCACCAAAATCAAATGGCGGGGCAGCCTTCTTCCTCATCAGTATTCCAGACTGCCAGCCCCGACATCCTCCATCCCCCCTCACCCAGTCCCAGAATCCCATTGTTGTAGCCCCCCTGTCATGGTATACACCTTACCCACCCCACCACCACAATGCCCCTCCACCTGTCCAGGTTGGGTATTTGGAGGTTGGAGACCCCAGACTGTGTGCTCCAAGGAGCATAGAACTCTTAGAAGCTGTACTTATCCCCTGCCCTAATGCCACTAGACTAGGGAAGGAATGTCCTCCATGCCACCTCCCCTACCTTGGGATTGTAGTTAAAGTTCAGGAAAGTACCTCACCACCGTACCTTCTGACCCACTTTGAATGCACCACTTACGTAAGGACAATTCCAATCCCCACAAGTGACTGGTGCCCCATCCTGAAATTATCTTGCTCTTATTTTGCCTATAATTCGTTTAAGTCTGCATGTTGCTTCTTCCCAGTAAGGTGGTGTAAACCCCTGGAGGGCAAAGATTACTTCATTTTTGTCTTTGTACCTAGCACAGTACCTAGCACCAATGAATGTCACTAATTGCAGGGGATGATTCAGAAAATATTCCCACATCGATCAGAATACCTTGGATGGTCAGGGACATAGTTCTGCTCCTGGAATACAATTATATAAGCATTACTCTTGACACTTACTAGCAGTGTGACCTTGGGCAAGTCACTTAACCCCAATTGCCTAAGCAAAAAAAAAGAGGAAGAAGCAGCATTTACTGAGTCATCTCCAACTGTGTTGTCTCTACACATTTTCCACCCAGGGCCCCACTGGAAAGGCGGACTTCACCCCTAGAGGCCCCTTGACCTTTTGAGAGGCCTTATCTTACATGGATCCAGGCCTCTACCACATTTGCCAGCTATTTCCATGCCAGACTGACACACAGGACCATACCATCCCTTACCTTTCCAGCTTCTCTTTACATGTTGTCTCCCCCGCCCTTCCCCCATTAGAATGTAAGCTTCTTGAAGGCAGAGAAGTGTTGCTTGTACTTGTATCCCCAGGATTTAACAGTGACTGACACACAGTAAGTGCTTAATAAATGCTTTCTTCTATCTACCTATCTTTCATATATCAATCAATATCTGTCTCTCTCTCTCTCAATCTACCCATTGCGAAAACCCAAGATCCCAGCTTTGTGAATTTTGCCATCAAGACAATCATCCATTTTCTTTTCCTTTCTTGAGGGAAAACTTGAACAAAGATGAATAGGGTACATTTTTGGGTTGGTTTTTTTTTAAAGATCCCCAGAGTCTATAATTCTTACTATTTATATTCTTCCCTACATACAAACCCAGACACAAAGACATACAGACACACAGATACACGCACACCAAGGCAAATGAAATATACCCATGTCCTGGGATCTGAGAATACGGCAACCTGCCATCTTCTTCCACCCACAACTGTATTTGGCATTAGAGAACCTAGGTCCACATCCAGGCTTTGCAACTTACTACCTATGAGACCTTGGGAAAATCACTTAACTTCTTAGACCCTCAATTTGCTTCTCTATAAAATGGGGTGTTAGCTATTAATAATAATAACTAAGATTTATACAGCCCTGTGGTAAACATTTTACAATTATTTTCTCATTTGATCCATACAACCACCCTGGGAAGAGGGTGCTATTATTCCCATTTCATAGATGTGAAAACTGAGGCTGGCAGAGGTTAGGTAACCCAGAGTGACATAGCTAGTGGCTGAGGCCAAATTTAAATTCAGGTCCTCTTTACTCTGGGTTCCCTTCTCTCTCTCCACTTTACCATCTCATAGCTATGTTACTAGGCCTATACTCCCAAAGAGATCAAAGAGAAAAAAGCACCTGTATGTGCAAAAATATTTCTAGCAGCCCTTTTTGTTATAGCAAAGAACTGGAAATTAAAAGGCTGCCCAGTAATTGGGGAATGGTTGAATAAATATGGTGTATAAATACAGTGGGACATTATTATTCTATAAGACATGAAAGGGATGATTTCAAAGAAACCTGGGAAGACTTAACTGATGCAGAGCAGGGTGAGCAAAATGAGAACTGTTTATACAATAGCAACATTGGAAAGACAACTTTAAAAGATTTCAGGATTCTGATCAATGTAAAAACCAACCATAACTCCATGGGGCCAGTGATGAAGCATGATACCCACCTCCTGACCAAAAAGTGATGGAAAGACGTAGAATTAAGGTATGTATTTTCAGGCACAGCCAATGTGGTAACTTGTGTTGCCTGATTGCTTATTTGTTACAAAGGTTTTGTTGTTCGTTTTCCTATTTTGGCAATCAGAGTGACAGGAGGGAAAGGGGGATTAGGGTTAGGATTCCTTTCCACCCCTGACCCCCCAATAAAGAAACAAACATGAAAAGAGAACAGAAAGCCAGAAGGAATCACACAGAGCAGCACAGCTCTGAAAGTTACAGGTTGAATTTATTATATACTTTAAAAACAAGCTCTTTGACTTTATATGTATAATTGACATCAAATTGCTTGAAGTGGAAAGGTGGGAGGAGAGAATTTGGAACGCAGAAAATTTTTTAAACGAATGCTAAAAATTTTTTACATGTAACAGAAATATCTAACAAAATAAAAATGTTTAAAAAATAAAAACATCTAAGTAATATTCCATTGCATGTGCAATCCTCTCCTGTTCCACACTGTACATGGAAATGCTCATTTTATTTGGTCTTAAGTTTAGAATAAAAACAATACAGAAAAAATAAAATGATGTTGGATTTAATGACTTGTAAAGGCCCTTCGAGGTCCAAGGCTACAAAACACTATGATCTCCACAATTCTGAGGCTACTCATTGTGGGGTTCTGGCTTGAAAAAGAGATTTACTCTATGCACCCCAGGAGACCAGAGATGCCTCAGGAGGAAGGGGTCAGAGGCATTTCCTTCTATCTCAAAGCCTTTAGCTGGAGCATAAGCCTACCAAAGAACAAGGGTGCCACCTAATGGAGACAGCCAGGTCTCACAAATGATTCCCAGAAACCCCAGGTGATTTTCTCAAAGCCTCTGGACTCCTTCCATCCTAAAGAGACCAAACCACAAAATTCATAGTCCTTCCTCTTCTCTCTGGCTCACCATGCAGGAGATACACAAGGATGCACAGACAGGCCCTCAGGGACCTCATCATCAGACATCCATGAAAGCATTTTCTTTTTTGGATATGACTAATGCAGGAATTTTTGTGTAACTATATGTATTTGTAATCGGTTTTGTTCTTCTTGCCTTCTCAATGGTGAGGGGAAGGGAAAAGGGAGGGAGAATTTGGAATGCAAATTAAAATTGAATTACAAAAAATATAGAAAAGTTTTGAAAAGAAAAAAGAACAAGGCTTCCCTCTTATGTAGAAAGATACCATAGGAGAGCCTGCAGAAGTGAGGAAAAATGAACCTAGGACAGCCAGTCCCAAGAAGTCATTTGGGGAACGGTGCAAGAGGACGGGGAAGCAGAAGTAATACAGAGGCTTCCAGTTCCCCTCCTCCCCAAAGAAGAAAGTATCCAAATTTTGAAAGAAAAGCCAGGTCTGGAATGAACCAATTGTATTCTACCAGTTGTAATGGAATGTTCTTGTGCCACAAGAAATCTCCAATTTAGAAAGACTTCTATGAAATGACAGAGTGAAGAAAGAGAAAAAGAAAAAAAAATACATACACTGACCCCAAATACTAATAGACATCAGAATTAAATTAATGAAATGACCAATGTTGACTCTAGGGGGCGCATAATGAAACATTCCTCCGTCTATGGAAATACTTGGACACAGCTTTGGAAATTGTTTCTGCTGGTCACAAGGAAAAGTTCTTGTGGCAGGGAGTGGCTGGTTGGAAACTATTAGTAAAATAAAATGATTTCCAATATATTTAAAAATAAGAAAAAAAAGGAGTGATCTATAAGCTAAGACCTCTCAACGGCAGTCCTGTCGGTCCTTGGAAAACAGGAGGAAGGGGAAACAAAGGGCGTTCAGCCACGTCTACTTAGGCCTCCATTCTCCCAAAGCTTTCTGGGTTGAGGAGGCTCTCCAGCGGGCAGGGCTTTACGATGGAACATAAGACCACACCAGGAGCTGGGAGACTAAGAGTTCTAGTCCTGGCTCTGAAACAAATGAGCTGTGTGACCTTCTTTACCTCTCTGGGCCTGTTTCTTCCCTGTAAAATACTGTTAAGATTAGATAGTCTCTTCTGGCTCTGACGTTCTCCATCGGTGTTTCTACTGCACGGGCAGGAGTCATTCTTCTTCTCCTTATGTTCTCCTTTTAGGCCCAGAAACCTTACATAAATTACCTAATCTCTCTGGGACTCAACCTTCCCATCTGTAGAATGTGAGCAGGGAGGGTGGACTAGATAAGACAGCCTCTGAGGTCCCTCCTAGTACTAAATCTGTAATCCTCTAACTCCAATCCCTGGGTTTGGGATTATACTGATAATAATAACTAGCATTTACCTAGACCTTTAAGGTTTGCAAAGCATGTTTTAACACGTTACATGGTCTCATTTCATCCTTGTACCAACCCTGAGAAGTAGATGCTGTTATAACAATCTCCTTTTTTCAGATGAGGAAACTTCACCTCTCTCAAGAAGTGAAATGATTTGCCCAGCTAGTATCTGAGACAGAATTCAAACTGGGGTCTACTTGACCCCAGTTCCAACTCTCTCTCCTACTGTCAGCCAAATCGACCAGTCATTCTATCTCCTTCCTCCATAAACCTCCTTTTTCTGCCTGGGGGTAACAAAGACAGACCCCACCACCACTACAAACATATATGCTAATAGTATAATAGCAGCTCACATTTATATAGCACTTTGGGGCTTACAAACCATGTCACACATATTTCCTTGGTTCCTTCCATCAACCCTTCAAGGAAGGTGCCATCATTTTACAGATGAGGAAACTGAGGGGCAAGGGGTATAGTGAATTGCCCAGTCTGAAACAGGATTTGAACCCAGGGCTTCTTAACATTAAGTCCAACAGGCTATCCAATGTGCCTGATAAAAGAAAATCCCTCAGACCAGACATCTGCCTTCCCCTCGTCCTTGGACAAAGGTGAGGCACACTCTTGTCCCATCCTCCCCACCAACAAAATAAACAACTGGCTGTTGTCAAATGATTTTTCCAGCAGAGCTCAGGGATACGATGAATTCTCTCCCCTCAGCCCTTATACTGAAGATGCCCAATGTGGGCCGCATTTATTATCAACAAATGCACATTGGTGTGGCTGGTGAGCGTGTGAACACACTCCCAAGGACTCAACGTGCTTGGACTTGCTCATGTACTCAATCACAATCAGACACCAAGTTCTCAGCTATCCTGACATACAAGACAAAAGTGAAACAATCCTGCCCTTGTGGAGCTTCCATTCTATCGGGGAAGACAACAGATACAAAGTGGTTGGGGCAAGGGAAGAGACAGGGCCTCTAGAGGCCAGAAGAGGATCCAGAAAGGCTTCATTTCATGGCAGGGGAGGCAGAGGAACACAAACCAAGTCTTGAAAGAATGACCAAACACAGCTACACCCATGTGCACACAAGCAACGTGGAAGCGAGCAGATTCCCAAGATCGCCATCAGCTCCCCTTCAGTCTCTCTCCTCCTGATCTAGGCTCTGCATCCGCAGCTGGGACCCATGCCTTTAGGCCTTGGCTGGCTCCAGGTTCAGGGTCTTCAGAAGAAGCCGGGGATTCCGGAGGGTCACCAGCAACAGCACTTGTTTCTCTGTCAAGCAAGTCTTCCCGCCCCTTCCTCTGGCTGATGATGGAATGGAGAAGGATCCCTGTTCAACACAAAGAGGACAATGACTGGATTGGGGAAAGAAGAGAAGAAAAGGGGGGAAATCGGGAAAGATAAGAAGAGAGGAGAGGAGAGAGATGGGGAGGGGAGGAAAAGGAAGGGAGGTGAGGAGAGAGGAGGAAGGGACGAGAAAGGAGGTGTGGCAGGTGTGGGAGCAGAAGGGCTGTTTTTGTTTTTACATTCCCAGCACTTAACCCAGTGTCTGATACATAAAGGTAAAGGAACCCTTACCTGCAGCTACAGAGACATTCAAGGACTCCACTTCTGGGGTGAGCTCCCGCCCAGGTCGAATGGTTAGTAGAATATGACACAAGCTTCTGACCTCATGGGATAGCCCAGAACCTTCATTTCCTATAGGGCAGAGATGGGGCAGAAGAGTCAGTACTACCCATAACTTGAGCTTTGGAAAACAGGTTCAGCAGGGAAGGGGTACAACAGAAGAACAGAGAAATGCAAGAGGCATCTCATCTGGTAGCTGGACTCCTGTCACCTACCTAACACCAGCAGAGTAGATCGGTCCCAGAGGAACTCTAGACAGCTGGCAATAGGGATGTTAGAGCACTCAGCAATCCCAGACCCTGGACAGCCCAAAGTGCCAGCCACAAGCCAGCCCTGTTGAGCCTTAGCCTGGCAAGGGGAAGAAAAACAATGTGATTTCCTGATTCACCAGATTTTATCAGTAATATTATTTAATTAATCAACAAGTATTTATTAAGTGCCTTCTATGTATTAGGCACAGGGCTAAGTGCAAGGAACAGAAAGACAAAAACCAAAAAACTGCCTCTGCCCTCAAGCAGCTTATATCCTAGGCTAGAGGAAGCACACAAAGAGAGAAAACAGGGGGCCTACAGTGGTTTGCGTGTGAAAGAAATCAGGCCGAGGGCAAAGAAAAATGCAGAGGAAGTTGGGAATTCCATCTCTACTGCAAAGTTCCTGGAATGTAGGGGAGAGTAGCAAGAGTTTTCTGAATCCTTTTCCACCATGCCCCTCATCACATGTAGCTGTTTCCCCTCACTGTTTCCTTATTCTGAAACACTGGCTTCTCACTGCCCTGACCTGGAGAATAGAAAGGGGGGCTGCTAAATATGGAACAACATTGCCTCCATGTGGCCAGCAACAGAGATACAGCTAAAAACCCAGAAACAAAACTTGAGACAAAAGATTTTCAGAGGCCTATCAGCCTGATTTCTTCCAAGGTCAAGTACAGCTCTGGTTTAAGATAGCCACACACCAGTCAGACTAACCAAGGTCTCCAGGTAGGTTTAAGGAGAGGCTCTGAGGTAGGTTTTTGGAAGAAGAAATCAAAGCTTATCTAGTCACATGAAAAAATGCTCTATATCATTATTGACTAGAAAAATATAAAACAACTTTTATTAAAACACCTATTAGATTGGCTAAAATGACAGAAGACAAAATGACAAATGTTGGAGGTGGTGTGGAAAAATTGGGACAATAATACACTTGGTGGAATTGTGAACAGATCCAATCATTTTGGAGAGCAATTTGGAATTATGCCCAAGGAGTTATAAAACTGTGTACACCCTCTGACCCAGCAATTCCATTATTAGATCTGTTTCCCAGGGTGACTGGGGAAAAAGGAAAAGAACCTATATGTTCTAAACTATTTACAGCAGCTCTCTTTGTGGTGAAAAAGAAATGGATGCCCATCAATTGGTGAAAATGGCTGAATAAGTTGTGGTATATGATTGTGATGGAATATTACTGTGCTGTAAGAAATGATGAGCAAGTAGATTTTCAAAAAACATGAAAGGAACTTGCATAAAATAATGAAGAATGAAACAAGCAGAACCACAAGAATGTTGTATACAGTAACAGCAATACTGCAGCTAAGCTATTCTGAGTTATAAGAACATTCAAATCAACTATAAAAGGACTTACGAAGCAAAGTGCTATCTACCTCCAGAGAAAGAACTAATATATGGAAGTATTGAATGGTTCCACATATATATCTATATCTAATATTGGCGCTCTCTAACAGAGGGTTGGGAGGATTGGAGGGAGACAACTTGGAACTCAAAATGTAACCAAAAAAATCTTTTTTTTTCCAAAAAATTTAAATAGAAAATTACAAAAAATCACATGTAAAAAATTCTTTTTCTAATTTTGTTGTATCCCTGGTGTCAGGAATATAGGAGCTTAGTAAATGCTTGTCACAAACTGAACACTCCAAGAAGAAAAAAAAAAGAGAGAGGCTCTATAGTGTGGGCCCCCTTTGGCCAGAACTTCAGGGGCATGGAGGCATTGGATTCCTCCTTAGGAATAAGGTTCAGAATCCCAAACCATAACACTAGATTCATCTGGGACTAAGAAACTAATTCCCCCTGAAGTCTAGAATGAAATACAGACATGATAGCATTAGCATCTGTCAATCTCAGCTGCTCTACTTGCCATTCCACTGGAGTTACAGCTAGATAATCAATCAACAGGGAGTTAGTGAGCACTTAGTATGTGCCTGGCACTGTGCTAAGTGCTGTGGATACTATGAAAAAAAGAAAGAAAACAAAACAAAAACAGGCCCTGCCCTCAAGGAGCTCCCATTTGAATGAGAGAGAGGACATCTTCATAAACAGGTATACACAAAAAAGAATAGATACAAGGTAACCTCTGAGGGGAGTATACTAATCCACTCCACTACTAATTACCTTCAGCAAGCCTGGAAGATCACCAGTTGCAAAGACATCCATTACTTCCATGACTCCTGCACTGGCCTTGCTAACCACTGGGGTCAGGGGGCAACTGCAAAGTTCAATTTCAATTAGACTCAACAAACATATGATGAGCACCTACTATGCTGCACAAGGCACTAGGGATAGAATTAAAACAGTACTAGCCCTCAGAGGTTGGATTCTTCTAGGGCAGGGGTTCTTTGCCTGGGGTCCATGGATAGATTCTGGGGAAAGAAACAATCATTTATTTAGTATTTACTATTTGCCAGGCACTGTTTCCAGCGGACACACGAACTTGGATGGAGAAAATTATCTTATTATTGTATTTTATATATGTTTTAAATACATGTACATATATATCATAGAATTACAGATTATTTTCAAACCTTTGGTTTCCTCGTAACCTTACGTATTTTATTTCATGCATTTAAAAACATGAACCTGAGAAGCGGTCAGTAGGCTTCCCCAGACTGCCAACAGGGGTCCAAAAAAGGCAGTGTAGTCAAAGGATCTGAGTTTGTATCCCAGCTTAAGTCCAACCTGTGTGACCTCAGCTATTTAGCCTCTCTGGGCCTCAGTTTCCTCACCTATAAAAAGAGAAGTATCATGATGAGGTATCAGAACGTAATGGAAAAAAAGAGCTGGGTTGGGAGTTTGAGGAGCTAGGTTCAAATCAGGTACTCTCTCACTACCTGAGGGACTCTGGGCTGTTTCCTATCTGGAAAATGGAGAGGGGCAGCTAGGTGGCGCAGTGAATAGAGCACCGGCACTGGAGTCAAGACAACCTGAGTTCAATCAAATCTGGTCTCAGATGTGTGATCCTGGACAAGTCACTTAACCCCAATTGCCTCACTAAAAAAAAGGAAAACGGAGGGAGCGGAACAGATGACCTCTAAGGTTTCTTCAAGCTCTAAAGCTACTAACTTAGGGAATAAATACATATTTGAGGAGGAAGACAGAACTAACATAGTGTTGAGAAACCACAAGTTTTCTCCACCCTCCAGCTCCAAACTTGCTAAGTTACTCTCCACTCCTTCCAACTTACCCCGGGAAGCTTTGGCCTCAAAAGGGGCTCAATTTAATTTAGGGAGGAGGTGGAGGGGAGGGAGTGAGTGGGAGAAGGACAGAAACCACAAATCTTGGCCCAAAAGAGGCAACCGGCTTGGGCTGACGGGCAAAAAGCTTGCAGGTCGGAACGGGGGCCACAGGCCAGGAGCTGAGGGGTGGGCTATCTACAGGTGGCCGGTGGGGCTCGAGGGAAGGTCAAGCGACTTGAAGCTAAGCAGGCAGGGTGGCCGGTCCAAGGATGCTGGGGCAGGAGGCAGAAAAGCTCTACCTGTTCCTCTGGCTGGTAATGACCTTGTCCACGCCCAGGAAGTACGCGGTGCGCAGCACGGCGCCCAAGTTCCGAGGGTCTTGGATCTCCTCCAGGATTAGCCACAGGCGCCGCGCCGCCGGCCCCTCCGCCGGCCAGTCCTCTCCGCCCTCCGGCCAGGCTTTGGGGAGCAGCGGGGCCACCTCCATACACACGCCCTGATGAACCTGACCCCGGCACAAGGCATCCAGCTCCCGCCGCCGCATCAGCTGCACCGGGACGCCCAGAGCCTCGGCGGCTCGGGCCAATTCGGCCCGCGCCCCGTGTCCCGCGCCTCCCTTGTGGAATAAGAGACGGACCACATTCCGACGGGCGGCCCGCAGGGCTAAAGCACAGGGCGCCAGCCCGAACAAGACTTCCTGCCGCCGGACCAGGGGCAAGTCGTCCTCCCGGAGGCGGAGCAGCTCCGCGCCCCCGGGCCGGGCCTCAGGCCGAGGCCCAGCCTTCCAAGGGGGCCGCCTCGGCGAAGAGCTGTTCCAAGAAAACAGCCGGGCTGACAGGAAGGCCAGAGCGCGCCCGGCAGAAGTCCCGGAGCCAGCCGGCAACCGCAGCATGTCCCGCACACTTGCCACCCGGCTGCAGTCCTGTCTACCGTGTAGACGAGAAAGTGGCCACTCCCTTCCCGCCTGGGGGATCCGACCTTGGGCCCGACGAAGGCAGAGGATTTAGAAGTCCTGGCTCCTAGCGGCATCGGGAGGTCTGGGGTCTCCGGCCAGTACCTCCGCTACGAAACCCACGCGGCTAGCGGAGAAAGCAGGTGAGTCACGTGCACCCAAAGCCACGTGAGCGGCTTTCGGGCTCCGCCCCTCTGTAGTCAAGGCAAGGTAGGACTTCAGGCGCCGCGTTAGCTTTCCCACAGCGCCACCTGCTGGGTCGGGGGAGGGATGGAATGGGGGCCTGGAGTCCTTGACCCCATCATCCCTTAAACCGCAGTTTGTAGGAGAGTAAGGTTTCATTATCCCTGTTCAGCCAGACCTATAGTGCTCATGTTCACAGTGACCTGTATCTCAGGATGGAGAAAGCTTTTCAAAACACTGGATAGGAAGGTCTGGGAAGGATTCTGGTGACTCCCATCCTTTCCACGTTTTGGAGTATGGTGAGGACCCCACAGGATTGTGATTCATGCCTAGAGGAGAAGGCTGTGCCTGTATGAAGTCTGTATGTGACTGCTGAAGATGACAGAATCCTGATTTCATGAAAATGTATCAATAAAATTAATTTTTCTCTCCCTCTCTCTCTCCCCCCTCCCTCTCCTGGGCCATTCAGCCCATTATTCTGCAGGGTTCCACGGAGCACTGTATTTCTTTTCCCTAACAAGATAAAGACTTAGAAATGTAAACCAAAATTTCCTCCTAACATGGTTCTACCCTGCTCTAACCTTTTTTTGGAGCGTGCTCCATGTTCAGTCTACCTCACCAGGGGCCCATACGGGTCTCCTTAAATTTACTACTCACTCTATATACCCTTTCTATTTCTTTCTACCACCAAGAGAACAATCTGCCCCTGCCCCAGCACCCAGTCCCTCTCTTTCTCTCTCCCCCAACCCCAGCCCTAACTAAAAGCCACAGAGCTCCTCTGGGTACAGGACCCCTCCCACTCAGAGAGTCATCTTAATATACTATAAATCCCTACCCCAGGGAAAGGAGTAAACGGAAATAAATTCCCAAAGCCAAAAGTTTGTTTTTTCTTTTTTAATTCTAGAAGTGAAAACCTCTTGGGAGACAGGGCCTTGATGTTGTCCGGCTGCTGCGACCAGTGTGGAAAAATCCCTCAAGAGCCCAGGGTCAGAGAAAAGGGAAGAAGGAAAATTAGCAGGAAGAAATGGAATAGAGAAAAGGGAAAGGAAAGAAGCCTGGAGCCCAGGTGAGGGCCTGCTCCTCTCTGACTCAGACCCGGGGGAGGAGGTAGGGTGAAGAGAGGCATCAGTAAGTACTGCTTCTGATCTTGGCCTCCTTCTCAAGGAGGAAAGGAGATAAAGTAACAGGACAAAGCTTAATGAGCTCCAAACAGGACAAAGCTTAATGAGCTCCAAACAATGAGTAAAGGATAACACATTAAGAAGTAAAATAGACAGGAACCACCCCACCACCCACCACCCAGTTTTCATGAGTAAATCACATCTGTACATGAAACAATTTGAGATTACAAAAAAAATTGGGTTTTTGTTTTTTGGTTTTTTGGGGGTTTTTTAGTCCTGGGGGCAGAAGAAGGAGATTGAGTCCAAGGGTCAAAAATTAACACCTACAATCCAGATTTAGGAGCCAGGCAGTAGGGGTCCATGCCCCAGGCTGGGCTCCCAACCAGATGCTATGTCACCTGTTCCGTTGGCATTATCTGGATGTCTCCAATCTGCAAACAGTACAGTGGAGTGGGCAAGACTTAAGCTCTCTCAACTATCTTCTACAACCCCCAAAAAAAGGCTATCTCCAGAGCTAAAGCAAATTGCTGACAATTGCCACACATACACACCCACCCCTCTAAGCCTCTGGTTTCAGTTAGAGCTTTCTGTAAGTTAGTTAATCTAACAATCCCTCCCCTCCAATCCAGAGAGAAATTAGTATAGCTATTACATAAATGAATTTTCTACTTCCATTATCTTTTCCACTCTTCTACTATAAAGTTATGTACAGTGATTCCCCTGAAGTCCCTAAAGGAGCAATAGTCAGGTCTAGACTCACCTGGACATGTGGTGGGGTGCTGAGGACAAAGATGACGGCTTCAGCTACATCCTCAGGTTTGAGACACTGAGAGCATCAGGAGAAGGGATGAGAGACCATTCCTATTCCTACTCTCCATCCCAATCCCCCCTCCCTGCATACACCTATCCCCTTCTTCCTAAGGCCCTTAATCATGGAACATCTACTGATTATAGGACTTGGCCATTCTAGTAAATGATGCTTTTGGCTACTTAAATTTGGGGAGTTAGGAGGTCATCGACTTGAAAATTGAATCAAAATTTTTTAGAGCTGAAAGGTACCTTAAAGATCATCTAGCCCGACCCCCTTATTTTATAGATGAGGGAAATGCAGACCAGAGATGTTAGGATTTGCAAAGTCACAGAGCAAATCAGAAATAGAGCTGGGACTGGATAGAATCCACGTGGCCCAACTCCCAGTCCAAAGCTCTCTGAATTGTACCATGAGGCCTTGTCTTCTCCCCTATGGCTCAGTGTCCAGCCCTTCAGATCCCACCTTGATGTGCTCGTAGGTCTCAGCTGCTTTCACAGGGTCGTTGTCATGAAGTTTGAAGGCAAATCCTGTTTCCACCAGCCCAGGGGAGATGCACTGGAGGGGGCAGAGGGTGCCTGCTCAGGGGGTAAGCCTCCATTTCCACTATTCCTCCCCTTCCCCGTTCCCTATCCCATGTGAGGGAAACAAAATCAGCAAAAAAGAACAAGCCATGATGAAGGGGTCATAGTAAGGGAATTCAAGCCCAAGAGATGCAGAAAGACTATAAACTGCCTAGGGTACAGAAATGACCATTCAATGTCCAACAACTCTTGCATTCTCTAAAAGAACATCAAATAGTAATCTATTCTCTTATAATCACATCAGCCATAACCCAATCTCATTCCATCCAAGCAGCCTTCTTGATGCAACCCTGCCCCACGTCCTCCCTTCTGCCTCACAGCCTTCGTCTGGTCATTTTGTCCCAGATCACAGAGGAGAAAACTGAGGCTTAGGTCAGGGCCATGAAAACAGCAGAGGCAGGAAGAAACCCAGAACTTCTGTCTCATTCCCCGCCACATCTGAATGCACTGTGCATTGGGCCAGGAGAACCGTATTCCCTCTAAGGTGGAGGTTCACCCGCCTTAAATCCCCCCTTGGGGCAAGTGTTCCCTCACTGTGGCTCGGATGTGAGTATTGGCCTCTCGAAGCTCCTGCCGCAGTCCCTCAGTTAATGCCGTAATGGCAAACTTGGTTGCACTGTAGAAATGCACATCAGACTGGGCCACTACCCGGTGACCCAACATGCTGCAGAGGAAGGGTGAAATCAGGATATAAGAGGAGAGTCCATCCCTTTCTCACAACTAGCCCCTTCAATGCCCTTCCTTTGACTACTCCTCCTCAGTTATTCTGCCCTCTCCTCACTCCAAAATGTTGACTTAATACCTTAGCTTCTTTGCCCTCTCCTAATCCCCTGAATTTGCTCACTATTCCTTTCACCTCTCTTTGAACTATACCTGAAACGTCCTTCCCCATCAATGGCCATTCATAGGATCACAAGATTTAGAGATTCAGCCCAGGGATTCTTAACCTGGTTTGTGTCATAGACCCCTTCTCACAATGTTTTTAAATAATTGAAGGAAATGTTAATTTCAGTTAGAAGCTAGTGAAAATAAAGATGTAATTTTTTTTTCTCCCATCCAAGTTCATAAACCCTCTTCTATCCATGGGCCACTTGGGGAACTCCAGGTCACAGAGTCCTGATCTAATGCAATCCTTTAATTTTACAGATGTGGAAACTGAGGTCGACATGTGTGGTTAGATGACTTGCCTGGGGCTAGACAGCTGGCAGAGTTGGGATCTGAACCCAGGTCCTCTGAATCCAACCACTATTACCATGTTGCCTCTCAATTCTTCCTATCACTTGAGCAGCTCCTAAGAGTCTACCCCCTCAAGGAAATCTTTCTAGGCTACAACTGGCCCAGGAACTCCCCCCAAATCCTGCTGAAAGCTTACTCTGTTCATATCAATGACATCAATACTGCTGCTTTCTTCTGAGCCTTATTTCTTGATCTAATCTAATAGTTAATCACAAAACAATGGCACTGAACCCTCGATGCATCATCACCCACCCCCCATTCACCTGCTGATGTTGATAATGTGTCCATCATCCACACTCCTCTCCCTCATGGACTGGTATGCCTCCCGGGTACAGATACTGACGGCCAACACGTTCACCTGCAGGCAAGGACAAGGATGGGAAACTGAGAAGTCCAACAAGGAATATTTTTGGGTTGAACCAGGCTAAAGTTGAATGAGTCTTGAGAGTGCTGAGAGGAAGGAGTAGGGGACTGAGATGACTATGTGTATTTTTAGTAATTTTTTTTCTTCCCAAGACTGTTTAAAGCCATTGGACCTGGAGGATAGGGGAGAAGGAGATTTACTTTCTCTTGCATTTTTTTCTTAAAAGTCAGATGTAGTATTTTAACTGGAGCCTGTTAAAATTCCTAATCTCTATCCATGGAGCCTCACAGCATTCTTCTCCCACCCCTCCAATACATGTATTTTTTACAAAAAAGCTAACAAGCAGGCAAACTGGGTGATAACTTACAAATGAAGACCTGGAATGTTTGCTATCATGTCCTGCCCTAACCCCTTCTCAAGCTGCTACTCATCTCCTGAAAAAGAAAGGTCTGTGGGGCAGCTAGATGGCACAGTGGATACAGCTTCGGCCCTGGAGTCAGGAGGACCTGAGTTCAAATCCAGCATCAGACACATGACATTTAACTAGCTGTGTGACCCTGGGCAAGTCACTTAACCCCATTGCCTAGCCAAAAAGAAAGGTCCGTGTCCTATCATCAAGGGATCTGCCTGAATCCCACACTGTGTGGAAGAACAGGACAACTCCAGAGGCAGCAAAAGAATGGTTCCTTTTTGTCTCCTTCTGAAGTAGTGTCTTATTGGTGATGAAGAGGACAGCAAGAACCATACTAGTACCAAAGTCTTGGGGGCCAAGGAACCAGGAAACTTCCCTGCCACAACTAATACGCAACTAAACCACAGACCTCTACGAATGGATTTGCCCAGATCTCCTACAAACAGCACATTTTAGCTTCCATTCTGTATATTATAGCCTCTGTACTGGGGCATCTCCTGCTAGATGCCTTGCTCTCAGAATTTCTGGTGGCACTAGCCCTGTCCTTCATTTCCAAGCAACGCACCTGGCATCAGAATGAGGAACTCATAATAAACTTAGCCTAAAAATATCTTCCCTCAGTATCCCCCTCCTCTCCCTCTGGCCCTAACTTTCCATACTTCCTACTATCATTTTCCTTAAAGAAATTCCTGGGACATGGAAAAGATAGGTAAGGTGGGGGTCCCAGTTAACAGTCCCAAAGGTTTACCTACCCACACACAGAAAAGACATGGACTGGCAGCCTCATCTTCTTTTTGGCTCTTCTTGCAGCCTGTCTACATGCTATTCCACCAACCCCAAGCACCTGGGGCCTAACAAGAAGTTGAACTAGCTTGGTGGGGGAGCCCCGGGAGGCCCAAGGAATTACCTTTCTGGGCCCTAACAAACCCATATACCCCTGACCTTACTTGTCCTAGCAAAGTGGGGCGCTTCCAGAATCTCCACTCTCCAAAGAAAATGACAGGTGAGGAACTGGCCGTGCTGTGACCCCACCGTGGCCCCACCAGGCTCACTGCCCGTGGAAAGAGATAAGCCTTTCAGCAGCTCTTCACATCTCTCCTTTCAGGGAGAGAGGCAACTGGGTAGGAGGAGATTAGATGTTTCTCCTTATCAGGTGTCAGACCTAAACCTCAGGAACAGAACACCCATAGTGTGAACCTGCTTCGGCTCCTAGTGATGTCAGCAGATGAGCCATACACAGGGAAAGGGGCGGCAGTACTTTGCCCCTCTGAAACTTTGTACCACTGTGCTTTGTACTGGACTAACATGAAAATAAAACAAAACACCAGAAGGTAAACCCCAGATCTAAGCAAAGAATCATTTCTGCGCAGGCCAAACAGAATCCAAGGGGGAAAATTTTTTTTTAAATGATAGTAATAATAATCACTAGATCAGGGACAAAAAAACTCCTATCCCAGAGAGAGATGGTAAAGACAGGTTGACATCAGAAAAGTAGAGGAGGGAGGATGGGCAGGAGAGGAATCACAAGACAATAGGATCCACCCAGAATCACACAGGGCTGGGTCAGAGAAAGTCAAATATGGAAGCTATATCACCTAACTCCCAGGACTGTGCTCTTTCCACTATACCAAAAGTCATGTTCATTCTTGTCAACAGGAATGGAATAAAGGTTTGGGGGAAAGAAGAAGCTACTTCGTTGTATGTAGTACTTAATCTTTCAGAGGACTTTTACATAAATTATCTTATTTGATATTATAACACTGAGTTAAGAAGAATGGTACCCCTCTAGCAGAGAGCCTTGGAAAAAGCAGGCAATTACCAAGTGTTCATTG